TCAATTCCACACATTAATTCAACATTAAAGACCTACATCAATCAAACTATAAAAGTGGTAGATGTGGAATATTTCCTTATAAGGATACATGATGTATAGTCTGATAACAAGAAGCCTTAATGCATTGTAATTATAACAAAACTATCTATTTAAAGGAAATCATTATGCATTTTTAATCTTTTTTTTTTAAAAAAAAAAAGAAAACATAAAAAGAAAGATAATCAGCAAAACAGTGGGTGGCATGCAAATCTGCGGCTTAATTAGTCTCTTTTCACGGAACAAAGGCAAACAAAGATAAATTGTGTCACCAAATTAACACTTGCTTGTTGGGATGTAAGAAAGAAGCGTTTAATTGCAAAATGACCCCTTACATTTGAATATCTTACAAAATAGAAGTTAAGAAATTAGCCTAGCTAAATATCGTCACCGTTATTTTCAACTTGAAAGTTGAAATAACGAAGTTATGGGTGAAGGTTGGGTTATGGAATGGTTGGCGGATCGTAACCTCGTGGTTGGTGGATCTCATCCACATTTTGTTTTGATGAGAAGTTAAAATACTAAATTTTACCAGATGAATATTGCTAGTGTCAAATTACTAATATATGCTCCTTTCGTTCCTGAAATTATTGTTATGTTTAGATTTTTATTTTTTGTACAAACTGAATTAAAAATAAAATTTTAAACTGCACAATAATTTCAGAACAGAGAGAAAATCTTTTTTTATCAAATATCAATTAGTTATTATGAGCTGCTTGCAGTAAATTCTAAAATGAGAGAAAATGGTTGGTTTGTTTCTTTTCGTATTTAATCTGCTTGTAATAAAGCAATGACTACATGCACGTTATCAAACTAGTTAGCTGTTTTATCTCCTTTTGAGTTCCATGTAGAATTCTTTTACCACTTGCACATAGGATGCAATGGTACTAGTACTTGGAATATTGTTACATTGCATTAAAATAGTTAACGTTGTACCAACTAGGACAAACAAATGTACAAAGGACGGGGAACGCATTGGAGATGGACTTCGGCCTAACAAAAATATTGAAGGAGAGACTGTGATTCCGACTTTTCCCTCTGAATGGGTAAATTGGTAATGGCCACAGTTAGGCCATTTAATCGGAAATGGGGAAATTAGAAAGAAGATAACCGGAGAGCAGCTAACTCGGAGCAGTGAGGAGTAATGGAGGAATATACCATGACAATCGTGTAACTGATTATTAATTACATCACAAATCAGTCTTACGACTTGTGTGATAACGCTACTTAATATTTAAAATCATTTTAATAAGTATTTTTTCATTACAACATGTTGAATAAAAAAAAAATTCTGTTAAAACTAAAAATGAATCTTTTAATGAATGAAGTGATGCTACAACTGTAATATAAAATGTAAGTAATAAAAATTAGTTTATTACATATTTTATAATTACTTTATAAATTCAATATTAATTAAGCTTCAGAATGAAGCTAATTTTATCAAATCCGCTAAAATGAAGAATTACCCTCTCATTTACCTTGATAATGTGAAGATATTTTAACCTTAATCCTCATAAATGTTAGTTCGTAATATTGGACATTTCTTTTTTACAACCGTATGGGGCTATAATAACATTTCGAACAGGAGAGATCATTTCACTAAACAAGTAAAGAAAAACGCAAATTATCGGCTCCAAGAAGCCACGTTCTCAGGCAGTAACACGATGTTCTCCCTTCAAACTCAAAATCACATGAAAACTGTTGAAATGTGGATGACATTTCAATATGCAGATAAGTACACCAGAATACCAGATTATTATTAAATTCTCGTGATCTAAGCTTCAAAAGAGAGTAATAAAGTAACAAAATAAAACCCTCGTGAAACTGAAATTATGTAAAGCTGTCATAATCTACACGTGAGTAATTTTTTTACCCCATCCCTTTTTGTTTTTTATTTTTTAACTGGTAGTTAGGACACTTAGGACTTCGGCCCTCATTTGGACATTGATTTGTCTTGTCATCTCTACGAATAAGTGTATTTTACAGGTAAGTTCCCCTAAAAGTAACCTATATTTTACTTCTCTATTTAATTTCTATTTAGAAAATCAATTTTTCTTAATTTTTGCAAATGAGTAAATTGTATGCATATTTCCATTCTCCAAGATCTCACCTTAACTCAGAATTTTTCGCATTGATTTGTGACACAATAATATCAATTTCAACAAATTTTCTTGTTACTGAGAGAAAAAGAACATGAAACAACGTTTATGATATTTGTTAGCGAATTAGGTTAGGACTTTACCCGTGTCATTACATTTTGTTAAAATGCCTTAGTTGAAAAGTGACATCATCGGACATCACCAGGCGCATCTCATACATTTGGGGAGATTCAGCTGTAAAAAAAGCTGCAAATTTCAACCAAAAGATAAAAAAAAAAAACAAGAAAAAAAAGGAGCACGAAAGAAAGAGAGAGAATATAGAAAGGTCGGTTAAAAAGTTTGACAGTACTGATTGATTGATTACTGAAGAAGATAGAAAAGCTCACCAGAATCAAGAAAAGACAAAAGAACTTTTAATTTAATGAAAAAAGAAAAAAAAAAAAGAGAAGGTAAAAATGTGGAAAAAAAAAATGAAACAGAAAAGAAAGAATAAAGAAAAGAGAATAATGTGAAATTTACCCAGGAGGAGTCCATGATTATTCCTTTTCCCGCTATCCGCTTGCAAAAGGCTGCAATCAACTCATTATAATTGATATACTCCTACATTACATTACAAATTTATTAAATATAATTATTTTTCAAGGTTCCTTCGACATTTGGGCACTCCAGCAGTCAGACCCATATCCGTCACTTTCTCTCTCTCTTTCTCTCTTATTTCCCCCCGTTTTATAGACAGTAATTCACTATTATTAAATTCTATGTATTGTTCTTTGTAAGAAGAATTTAAGCTAGAAGTTGAGTCAATGTTTTAGTAGTTTTAGGGTTGTATGATTAACCATGGGTCGAGGATTTGATTCTTTTCACGAGCACAGAAAATATGTTACTGTAGAAAGAAGAAAATAATTGATGTGCAATGGCAAGAAAGTCTGTAATCATCGATCATTAAGAATCAGTTACAACGAACAGTGGCGAAAATATTTAGAAATACCTAATAATCGAACACAGTGACCAATGACGAAAATATGTAAGAATACTCCCCAAAAAAAATTTTATTAAGGAAAGGCAGTATTTTTAAAATTTTTAAAAAACAGTAATGATACGTCCAGTGATTAAGTACAGTGAAAATATATAGTGACAAATGAAAAGACAAATACACCATCCACTTGCTAAATATGTCTATTTATTAATCAAGGGTATAAATGTAATTTTGGGGACAAATAAAACTTCAATGGAAAAGTAGCAAAAAAATTAGGAGACATGATTATTCCACATCAATCACTGTATTTTGTCACTATTTTCATCCACTAAGAGTATCAATTTACTTTAAAAAATTGTGACTTCAACCTCCCGATGTGAAAAAAATGTTATTCCGCCTATTCTCTTTGGAATTTTGAACATCGCCATTCGTCACTGATAATGAGTCGAACAGGAGAAGAACACAATTGCAGTTTTATGGCTAATAATATTATCTCCACTCTATTTTGATAGGTAGATGCTAGGAACCTCCAAAAACACCCATAGGTACAATCTTAAAAAAAAAAACCTACTCTCTCTGTCTCAAAATTATTGTCAGTTTAAGATTTCACTTTTAGTACAATTTGAATTAGAAATGAAAACCCAAACTGCACAATAATTATGGGCGGAGGGAGTATAAGTTTTGAAAATTTAAAATGAGGAAATGCAATTGTTTAGCATATGTCATTACTCATTTGGGAAAGCAATCCTCTCTATTTTTGGTGTCACGCATTTCGACTTTCATTATTATTTCTCGTCCCAAAAAACATTTTTTTTTCAAACAATAATTTTTTTTTTTAGAAAGAGTTGTTTGATAGAGAAACCATGAAGTGCCCCTAAACTAATGTGCATTTACTATATTTCAGTGAGACCATTTGCCTTTCGTTATTATGGATAAAGTGGAGGGAAATTAACGATGTTGGTCTCATTCAGTAAACGGAAATTACGTGGACATTCAGAATCTAATACTGACGAAATAATGATTTGGTGCAATACGAAATATTTGAAATATGATCAGCAAAAGATGGTCGGTCAAATCCAAGTATATATGTTTTGAGAAAAATAATTTTTGTGACAGATTATTCGACTCGATAACTTTCTTATTTCTTTGTAAACTCATTAATGACTGAACAAAGACCTCAAAAATTGCAATTTGCAAGCGACTGAATTCCAAGCAGGCAAGCATTTGCATGTGTGGTTTCAGAATACAGAATTTGGAAGCAAATATATGTTGCTATATACTTAGTAAAAAAAACCATCATCAACATTCATTCCCTTCATTCAAAAAATTCACATATAAGTTAAGTATTAACCCCCCACCCCCAAAAAAAAAAAAAAATTGACCCCAAAATTGAAAATACACAATGACTCAACCTGATGTAGTAAAGAAATAAGGACCCCTCACCCCACCACACACACACACACACACACACACACTGATAGCAACACTACATATATAGTCCACAACTCACCAAAGACTCTCAACTCTCCCGAGAGGTATAGAGCGCACTTTCAAAGGCTCTCTCTGTCTCTCTCTCATATTGAATGAATTCTGGTTTTCTCTTTTATCTTTCACACAGTCACACACTAAACCCATTTGATCAGCATTTCTGATCAGTACTCATTTCACTCATACACACCCACACGGTCACAACTTTCTTTCTTTCTTTACCTTTGTCTGCATATAAAGTTTGTACTGTTTGCAATATTGCGAAAGCAGCGAGGAAGAAAACAGTCAGGAGGAAGAAAGTTGTGTGTTCTTGTTACCTGATAGGTAAAATTGCATTTATTATTTTATTTTGGTAGCTCTGTTTCTGCATGCAATTCTTTTTTCTTTTTTTCTTTTTTTTTCACTTCTGGCTCTCTGGGTAAGTTTATTATCTTCTTGCTGCCTGCATATTGGAATCTTGGGAACCTGTGATCTTAATCTCTTCCTTGCGAATTTCAGCTTTGGCTAGATTCCCCCAACTTTATGGGTGTTGTCCTTTTTTTCTTTTTTTCTTTTTTTCTCTTTTTCCACTGTACTTGAGTGGATGAGTTCATATTTTTCAATCTCCTTGTTTGCCTGCATTTTTTTCTTGATGATCTCATATGGGTTCAGGAGTTTGTTGATTCCTGTTGCAAAAAGTTTGAATCTTGTGACCTAAGAGTACTGTATATATGTGGGTCATTTTTATTTTTTTTTCTCTTTCTAAAATCTATATAGCTTTCTTGTTCATGCGGTTTAGTAATATTTTAGCTTTCTCCAGATTATGATCTCCTCATTCTTGCATGTAAGTTAGCACTTGAACAAATCAAGAGTTAGAATTCTGGTTAGAAATAGTTATTTTCTGGGAACTTGGAGTTGAGTCTGTGATCTGAAGCATTTTGGTGAAAAATTTAATTAGTCTGGTTGGGAATGTTGAAATCTTTTCTTCTTCTTCTGAGTTCTGACCATTTTCATTAATTGCTCCACCCATTTTACTGTTTTTTGACATGTGATAACTTTGACAGTTGATTCTTCTGCTTTATCATGGAAAAAAAAATTGCTTATTTGAATGTGATTAGCAGCTTTTTTTCATTTTTCATTTATCTTTTTTGCTTTTTGTTGTCCAATTATTTGCAGATTGAGTAGATGTTGGTAAGTGGCTAAATTTGAATATTAATGTGCTGCCTGGAAGACGATGCCAAACCAGCTATGGTCTGCACTGCTGAAGATCTGCTGGACTGGAAGGATTTCCCTAAAGGCCTTAAAGTCCTACTTATTGATGGGGATAGTTGCTCTGCAGCAGAAATGAGATCAAAGCTCGAGGAAATGGATTATCTTGGTATGTGAAAAAGCTTCTCACTTCCCTTCTTTTCTTGAAATGTGTTCTTGGAATCCAAGTAGTTCTATAATCTCTACTAATTGGTATTTTCAGGATGGGCTTGCTTTTTTGATTTTCCTGTATTAACTTTTTGCTCTTGTAGCTGCATTAAAATACAAGAACTCTTCAAAATGCCTTTGATGGTTCACTCTTTGAATTTTTTGATCTCCTTTGAGAGTTTTAACTGCAGTCGTATACGAATGTCAAATGTGACTTTTTTTATGCTAAAGGAAATTTGCCTCCTTGCTAATGACTCTAAAGCAGCTACTCCACACGATTTCAGTCCACATTTTTTTTTTGGAGAAAAAGATTTCAGTCCACATGCTATGACACTGTTTCCATTTTCTTATTATTTGGGTAAAAGAGCCAATCAATAATTGAGTGATGATAAATTTGTTTTGTTGAACCAGACTACCATACTTCATGTTTTTTTTTTTTTGTTCACAATTATGTCCTTAATACTTGCTTATGCAATAATCTTTCTAATGAAATCATTTTGCTGCTACTACAGTTTCTGCATTCGATAATGAGAATGACGCTTTGTCGGCAATTTCAAGTAAATCTGAGTGCTTCCATGTTGCTATCATTGCGGTAATAAATTTCTCCTCCTTTACTTGTGTACCTTGCAATTAAGTTATTCTTGAACTAAATATCTTATTGATTGATAACAGTTGCTAGATATAGCAATCTTAGTTTAGGGCAAAAATTTTACAAAGGGCTGGAGGCAGATTACATTGGAAGGGATAATTTTATTTGCTTTCTTATAATGGAATGAACCAAAAATAAAAAATAAAAAAATCTGAACGCTCAACTTCTCGTCCTTTGCCAAGTCCCCTTAGTTTAAGAAGTTCACTTGGGAATAACATAAATTCATTCATTAAACCGTTCATATACTTGCTACAGGTGAATACTGAAAGCTCTGACGGCACGCTCAAATTTCTTGAAGCTGCTAAAGCATTGCCGACTATAAGTAAGTCTCTTAATTCCAGTGCAACACTCAAACTTTGTGTATGATGTAGGAATTTGATCTGTTTTATTATCATTGTTTCACTTATTTATCTACTGGTAGTATTTTGGAAGCTTTTGCTTCTACCGGTTTTCTCATTATTCATGCGTTGTGTTTGCAGTGATGTCCAACAATCGTTGTCTAAGTACCATGATGAAGTGCATAGCGGTGAGCTCTTATAGCTGAGTTTTTTTGTAGAATTACATTATGAAGAACTTGCCTGCTAAAGAATATCAAGATGATTTGGTCATGTATTATTCTCTTCTCCATTCAGTCAGAATTGTTTTAGTTTTTTAAATTACATTTCTGCCTAGAAAATTCTTCATGAGATTGATCCTTTTTCCTTAATTTTTTGCTTCTACAGCTTGGTGCAGTTGAGTTCCTTCAGAAACCTGTATCTGATGACAAACTACGGAATATATGGCAGCATGTAGTTCATAAGGTCGTTTCGCATTTACTTGTCTAAAGAAGGCATTTTGTTACTGCCTCTTGAAATAAAATCCTAAACTCATTGGTCTAAAGCAGGCATTCAATGCAGGAGGAAAGGACGTCTCAGAATCACTCAAACCCGTTAAAGAGTCCGTGATTTCCAAGCTGCACCTTGGATTAGGAGATGCAGAAACAGATAAACAAGTATCCATTAAACAGGAAAAATTGCTGCCAGATATTGACCCCAGCCCGGAACTGCTGTCTGGTTCTGATAAGTATCCTGCTCCTTCAACCCCACAACTTAAACAAGGAGAGAGATCTTCGAATCATGAAGATTGCCAGGATCAAGCAAACTTCTCTGTTGAGCAAGATAACTGTGAACTAGATGGGGAATACAAATCCGTCGAAACCACTTGTGGCATTTCACTTTCTGACTGCAGTGCATTTAGCAGTGCGGCAGGAGGAGATGTTAACATCAAAGAGGAGCATGAATCTAGTGATGGATGTCAGAGTGAACAAACCACTGCTCCTCCTGGTGGAAGTAAAGATTGCGCAAGTAACGGCACTAGTGATGCTAATGAAACTAACAAAGCACCAACAGGCAATGATACTTGTGGAGTTAAAGCTACTAAGAGAAAGACAAAGGTAAGCTGTAAAACCAGCATTTCACTAAACATAATATAGATTGCAGCTTCTTTGGTTGTCCTTGATTGTTAGTTTATCTTTGTTTTATCTGTTATTCTTCCCTCCCAATCAAGTTTTGGAAAAAGCTCTAGTTGTCTGAGCATCCATTATTTTTTAACTAGTTCCTAACTTGGTAAAGTGCACGTTTTTGTTGAATCCACAAAATCATCTTTCTTTGGTTGCATATCCGTACTGTCTTGGTGTGTTGCCTCATCTTTTAGATGAGCTAATTAAACTTCACAAGCAAATAGATTGACTACCAGTTTACTAGTTGACTAAGTTTAGCTTTGGCTTCATATTTATCCGATAAACTATAACTCTGAGTTGCATGTCCTTATCAGGTAGACTGGACCTCCGAACTACATAAAAAGTTTGTCCAGGCGGTTGAGCAACTTGGTGTAGATCAGGCAATACCTTCTCGAATTCTAGAATTGATGAAAGTAGAAGGTTTGACCAGACATAATGTGGCAAGCCATCTCCAGGTCAGAACTCATCTTGTTCTTTCGTAATATAACTAAAGAGTTAATTGCTTATGACAACAAGAAGCTTACAAGGATATATGACTACTTTAATTTCCATGCAGAAATACAGGATGCACAGGAGGCACATTTTGCCGAAGGAGACTGATCGTAGATGGCCTCATCCGGGAGATCCTGCACAACGTAGCAGCCATCCACAAAGACCTGTCATGGCATTTCCCACATATCATGCTAATCATAACCTTCCTGCTGCTGGTCAGGTTTATCATCCTCCCTGGATGCCTGTTGGTACTTATCCTACAGGCATCCACACGTGGGGTTCACCTTATTATCCTGGGTGGCAGATGCCTAACGAGAACTGGCATTGGAAGCCCTATACAGGGGTAAAAATCTCAACAATCAGATTAGAACAATTCTACATCTTAAACATTCTATTATTGACACAATCACTACATTTCAGCTGCAGGCTGAAGCATGGGGATGCCCTGTGATGCCTCAATCTGTTGGATCTTGTTCCCAATTTCCTCAGGTCAGGCTTTACTAGCTGAAGTATTTGTACTGAAGATTACATGTACTTGGCTTAATAATCATTTGTGATTTGCATAATGCAGAGTGCACCAGATTTCCCGAGTATGAAGGAGATGCCATACACAAACAATGTGCATTGGAATTCATGTGATTCTCAACCAGTGAGTTTTGCATAACCGTTGTTCTTCTTTATTCCTACTATTTACATGATACCACATTTGATCCATGTTCATGAGAACGACAACAAATTTCTTGCTTGTTTTTGCCTGATTCAACAATGTCATCATCTTACATCTCTAAAGTTACTACTTTGAGCGCAAAACCGCTGTCTATACTGCCCTGCATTCCAATTAGAGTAGCTTATGATATGTGGAATTTGTGTGAATAGACTCCATCTGAACAGATTTTCTTGAATTTACGTTCCCTATTATATGAGATGCCACAATTATGGTCCAAAAATGAGATTATTTCTACTATTTGATAGAATATCATAGTCATAAGTTTTCGTATGAATGCAGGCAGATGAGATAGTTGACAAGGTAGTGAAGGAAGCAATAAGCAAGCCATGGTTACCACTACCATTGGGCCTAAAATCACCCTCAACAGAAAGTGTCCTAAATGAACTCTCTAAGCAAGGCATCTCAACAATCCCTCCTCATTCCAAAACCAAAGTCTCCCATATTTTCTGTTGAAGAGTCCATCCATGATCCATCAAAACCATTCAAACCCGGTTTTAGTCAACTCCCCCAATCATGAACTCTGAAACATGATTGAAGAAATGAACAAGATTTGCAGATCTCATGAGGCTCCCAAAAACTCAAAAAAAAGTGCCATTACATTCCAAAGAATCCAAACATTGACGTGATGATGACAGTAAGGAAACAAAGGAGAGAAAGGGCCCCTTTGTCCCACCAACACCACCACACTCTCTTTTTTACAGTCTGATCTGATCTTATCCCAAGCACACTACAACAGGGAAAAAGAAATAACAACAAAAGTGATGCAGTTTCAATGCTGCCAATTTTTTCTTGCTCCTGCGGCTAAAATAGAAGCCACGTATGAGTACCATTTTTATTCCAGTATTTCAATTATGGGAAGGATTTGTGGTTGTAAATAAATGTATGCCCACAAGTTGGGCAGCAGAATTTGTCCCAGATTTTCAAGTCATGGGACAACACACGGGGTTGTTCTGTTTACTTACTTCTGTACTTGTGTTTTTAGGTGGTGGATGGGTGGGTAGGTGGGCTTTGATTTTACTCTTTGATTCTGAAATAATTGGCATGAAATGGAGGAACCATTCTTGGGTTTGCTTTCAGGGATCTAATCTCTTTTGTATATATGAAATGAATGAATGATTCTGCAGTCTCCTTTATTCTTTATGATAGTCTGATGAAGATTTTGACAAAGCAGCAGTATCTGATACCATTGTATTGAAATAAATTGAGAGTTGACTGTGGTCCAGTTTCTGATCTTGATGATAATATGATAAGAACCCTGATAAGAAAAAGGAGAAATAACTTTTACAGAAGTTTTTAAAAAGATGTGATGAAGAGAACAGGCTAATCTGTTAGAGAATGATTCAAAGTAAATGTAGTCGAAAAAAATTTGTTTAGATTGAGTCATACTTGTTCTCTTGGTTATTTTGTAAACCATATAAAAGGCATCTTAGTTATTTGAATTTTAAGTTATAGGAGAATAGGCCTTTTCATCCCAAGATTTGAGCCACACCATCTAAAATATCCCGAAGTTTAAAAGCATGACATTTTCATCCCAAACTTTTCAAAAATATGTAATATTAAGACATTTGTTAATTCTTTCAAGTTATTAACGGCGATATTTCATTCAGTTTCTTTTCCCCCATTTTTTTTTAGTCAAAAAGATTTGATGCTTGCGTTTGGTAAATTTGGTCCATGCCAAAGCAAAAAAGTTGCATGTCCATGAATCAATTACAACACCGATTTTAATAATGATGAAATAATGCTTACTTTCTAATTAGGACACACACAAAACCTCTCATGATTGTTATCAATCTAGAAGGTGAATCTTGAATTTTTTTTTTTCTTTTTCTAAGCAAGGAAAGAATGGATGATGTGAATACCAAATTAGGTTTAGCTATTTTCTTATAAGGTGGGAGTTAGTGGAACGTGTTAAATGATTAAAAAAATTAGGGAAGGAGTAACAGAAAAAAGTACCACTACTAATTAATTAACTGGAGTTAAAAGTTTAACGAATATATTAATGTAACATGTTTTTAAATAATTTGGGATGTAAATGGCATATTCTTAAACTTTGGTATGTTTTGGATAGTGTGGCCCGAACTTTGGGATGAAAAGACCCATTTTCCCTTTATGTAAACACATAAAATCAAAATTTATCAGTCACTTCCTTTTAACGATGGTTCTCTTTTTTATTTTTTCTTCCTCATCTGACATATTACAACATAATCATACTGTCTGTTATATGTAATGACATAATGTTGTTTGTCTTAAAACTTTGAGATTTTATGTCAATGTCAAGGTTCATATGCACTTATTCGTTCCGATAACAACACAGCTTTTTCTTTATCAAAAAAAAAAAAAAAAACATCACAACTTTTTTACATTTCGTCAACGTTGCAATCCAACCAAAAATAAAAACTTTAGTACATTTGATTTTCACCAATTGATCCATAATCAACCCCCTTTTGTGAGAGTTTTTTTGAAAAGTAGAGAAGAGAGTTTGTAAGCGATGTTGTCTTTATTTTATGAATTTATTTTGGGTTTTAAATTGTAACCAACTAGTTACAAAATAACAACTTCACCGTAGTGCCGAAGGATATGCCGTCCATTAGTACTTCGCATAATTTAAAACAGTGATCATTGAAATAAGTTCATTATTATCATTCGCAACAGTCTTCATTAAATCCGCAATGCCAAATGTTGTAATGGATCTGAATCTTTACGTGGGTTTTTAGTAAAGCTGTTAGCTAGCAAATTTCGAACCACTTGAGGCTGTTTCCTTGTCAAGAGTCCATTAGGGACAAAATTTGGTTTTTCGGGCTCTAGTTAGGGAGACTGAATGAAGTAAAATTGCTTTGTCATGTAGTACCTTATTGGGTTTTTCGGCAAAGAGTCATTGGGCCTTCGTGATGATACAGGTTCTTTGTGAAGTTGTGGACTTTGTAAGGAAATCGAAGGGCTTCTATATGTCCTCAAAAAACGGCATTTGGATGGCAAATCGATAAGTATTTTTTTTTTTAATATAATTCTTACAAGTATCTAGGTTATTACATGTGTGAGTCTTGGGAAGGGGACCTACTACTAGCCTAGTCTAGTGAGGGACGACTCCACACCTGCAACGCCTCTTTCCGCACGTCCTTTGGGTGCTTGAAGAGCTTCCAACTGCGAGTTGGATGCCTAGCCCTTTACTACTTGGGCAACCCCCTCTTGGCTATTTTATCAAGAGAACAAAATTTCGATCTTTGGTAACTTGGTTCTGTAAGAGACTGAGAGCAAAGCGAGTCAGATCAAGAAGTGAACTATCTGCCTTTTGCCAATTTAGGCCTTTACTATTACAGTTGATTTTTTGAGGTAAAATTTTCTGTTCGATTATGGTCTTTTAAGATTTTCTTAAATCAATGATTGCACTTTTCTTCTTTTTTCTTTTTTTTTTAACCCGGTTTAGGGGGATTATGTTTGAAATGTGTCTGTGTTTGCTTAAGTTTACCCCATATTCCCATTTACTCTACTGTTTCTAGTCTAAGATATGTCTTCTCATTACGCAAGTACTTTTGTTCCGAATACGTGATTCAATATAATGAATGTTGACGAGTCCAAATAGTACGGCCCATTACTAGGCCTGTCCAAGTTCGGTGAGCGGTCCAACCGGCCCCTGGAAACTTCTAGGGCGGTTGTCAATTACTTTCCTACTAAGAAAAGGTTCCATAATCTAATTCTATAAATAAGGATCAATCCCTATTATCAAAGGTACGCTTTATGCACCCGATTTACACCCATATTACAATTACTCCTACTGACTTAAGTATCGGAGAGTCTACCCTCGGGAGACCCCGAAGCTCTGTCTTGCAGGTTTTAGGGTTTCATAGCCGCCATGTCTGCCGGATTCAATCCACTGGAGAAGTCGGTACAAATCCATCCTTCGTCAAATGTTTTATATCAAAAATATTCTATAAGATACTGGAAGGATAAAGTGCAAACTGAAGAAATAATTAATGTATATGGCTATAATTGCTTGAACTGCTGCAATATAGAACTTATACTCTCCTACACAGTTCGAATCTGGATTAGTTGGAATAACGATTTCAGCCACTCGATGCTTGTTATACCAAAAAAAAACTACAATTTTTTCTCGACTTTGTTTTGCTCTTTTCTATACCAGTTAAATCTCAAATCACATTTGGACTGCTGTGAGGAAGCAAGAACACGAACACTACTTCACAATCCCATCTTACGCCCAAGTACCGCAAGCTGCTCCACAAACTCCTCTCCTGTTAGAATCTCAGTTGCCCCGTATATAATATTTCTCGCAGGCTGCTGCCGCCGAGCAAGCCCAACCAAATTTTCATATTCCACATAATTCCCACCTCCAATCATAAACACAATCGCTTCCTTAAATGGGCCATCCGGATGGCAGCTTCTGCTGCTGTTGTGTGAAGCACAGGGATCAAAAGTGAGACACGTTTCGATATGGGGAACATTAGGGTTTCCCTCCGTCAGTGCTTCCATTGTTCTGACCAAAGCCATATGATTTCCACTATACAAAAGAATATTCTCTATTTTTTCGTACAGTTTCCCCGCCCAATCGACAATGTTGTCACTCATATTGTTAGCGAGATTCGTCAACGCTGATTTCGAGGACTTGATCTTATTCTTCACGTACCGAAACGCGCTGGTATCAATCTCGGACTGCTTCAACACGAGTTCCATCATATCAACTTCAGACGGAGGGATATTTTGGGTAAGAAGTAGGTGTAAGATGGCGAGACGGAGTTTATCCATCTTTGATCCGTTATTCTTCCCTTTCAGAACCTCAACAACCTTATGATCAACCCGATTAACACTAACCATCATCATCATTTCGTTCTCCTTTATCGCGTACGAATCGAGACACCTCTCTCGAATCTCCCTTAGCAATGCAGTAGCAATGTTTGTGTGCTTATCGATTACATTCTTCCTCTCCGTTAGCTCCGGCAGCGAATTGACGGCGCTCATCAAATCTTTCGTATTATTCACTTCAAAATCTGTCTTCATGTGTATCTCCTTAATATCTTCCTTATACTTATTCAGCTGATTCTCAATCTCCTGAGCCACATCCGGAAACTCCAACGACCCGTTCGCGACCCAAAACGGGTCCGAACTATCCAGCTGGTACGACTTCTTATCATTTTCCTGAATGCTAACCTGATTTAACTTCAACCCTAACACATCATGAACTAAAGGCCTATACCTAAAATCGTGCTGTACGGCCGTTGGGAATTCGAAGTTCCGATCAAACAAACACAAAACGGGTCTCTCGACGGAGTGACTGATTTTTTTACCGCCTTCGGTTAAAAAGTTATCCTTGCTCAGTAAATGGCCATGCAAAAGCTGGTCGAGGAGCGACGCCACCAGCTCAGCGATGCCGCCGCGCGGACACCGGATGATCGGAACCACGGTGAGAGTCGCCAGCACGCTGAACAGGCCGTTAACTATTCCGTTAATTAGGCCGTGAATATCTTTATCCCGGGCCGATGGATCATTCAACTGAACGTAGGAGTTTTTTTTCCCAAGCGAAAATAAGTTGTCTTCTAACGTGATGAACTCTAAGTGCTGATCTTGGATTTTGGAAATCCGGTGAACGGAGTCGGACTTGAGCGCGCCGGCGGCGAGATCTTGGAGCAAAGGGCTGGGGATGGTGGAGGAGAAGTTGAGGTGGAAGGTGCCGTAGAGGGAGCTGGCGGCGTCGGAGATGATCCGGTGGACGTTGGCCGGAGTCGGCTGGAGGAAGTAGACGGCGGGGACGCCGCCGGCGACAGGATTACGGTCCTTGTCAACGAGGAGGTATAGAGTGACGCCGTGCTTACGCAAGTCCTTGACGAGGATTAACGGAGAAAGGACATCTCGACAGAAGCGATCGTAGATCAAGATCTTTTGCACCGTTTGGTTACTGACGCCGCCGTCGTCAGCCGGATTTACCGGTGGGTTCAGATTCAGCATCTGAAGAATGCTTTCGGTTTGCTTCTGGCGGAGATTCAGTGCCATGTTATTTAATATTATTTTTTTCTATAATGAAATAAATTTGGGAGGAGAAGATATACAAATAATATATTGATCAAAATCGATAAACCAAAATGTTACTCTCGCAGAATAACTTCTATTTATAGAGATTTATTTACCTTGTCCAACCTATAATAGAAAACTAAAAAACAGGAAGGAATAAAAGAAACATAAAGTTACAAGAGAAAATATATTATGGGTTCATATTTGCTAACTTAATACGTGGTGATGTCATGTAACAAATCACATCGTTCTAAAATTATTTTCGAATGGACTGTATTAGGTGTTAGACCCGTCCGATGGACGGGGAGCACATATACATAAACATTACTACACAAACATATCAAAAAAATGTTAATATTTGTATTGATTTTTATATTTTTATAAAATATATAATGAATTCATTAAAAGATATAAAACACAAACATCGACAACACTTTACCAAACGAATACACTGGTAATTTATTTAACGTAAAAAAGATTGTTAAGAAATTTTAAAAAAATGAACTTTGAATTAAATAATTATATATCTTGCAATATTTCTTGGTAGATTACATTGATAGTCTGGGGTGGAAAGGTCGGTTAGGGTGGTTAAGAAATTATGATAAGGAATTTTTTATTTTTTTTTGAAAAGGTTTATGATAAGGAATGGTTACTACAGAAACAACAACCCTAACTTGTTGTAGAGGCCATCTAATTTTTTAATAAGAAAAATAAAAAAAATATAAAAAGTTGGATATCAGGATCTTTATTCCTTGTTTCGGAGTGACTTTTGATTTCTTAGCTCCGCTACATCAACCCATCACCATAGTATTTTAACTCAATTCCATATTTGAAACTAAATTATAGAAGTTTCAGGTTGGCCTAACTTCTTTAATTATTTTAATAAATTATTAATATAAAATTCTTTTTCAGTTGCGTTTTTTTTTTTAGGAGGAAGAGATCCGTCCATCGAATTTGCAGGGATTTGGTCGAATCAATATAGGCTTTGGACTTTTTCAGTTGCGTTTTTTTTTTTTTAGTTTTTATTGTTTTGTTTTGTGCATTTTTATATCTAAAAAATTAAGAAAATGCCACATAGGATTTATCCTATGTGTAGGCATGTGCTCTTTAACTTTAGATTTCTCTCTCTGATTTTTGCCTTATTATAATATATAGAATATAGATAAATTTTAAGGATCACTAGTTTTCTTTTCACTTATTGGGACTCTACATATATAGTACTCCCTCTGTCCTAAAATTATTGTCCATTTTGAGATTTCACTTTTAGTACAATTTGAACTAGAAATGAAAACTAAAACTGGACAATAATTATGGGACGGAGGGAGTATCAAAAGAAAAGTAAAGGTCAAAGTAAAATTGCGTATCCGTTTCCCTGTCAAACACACTCTTTAATTTAACACTTAAAACAACTGAATTGGATCAAAATGGCTTAGATGAAACTTGAAAGTTAAACACCTCCCTTTCGTAAGCTATAGAGATAGGGGGAAAAAAGAAGAAAATAGAACAAAAAAAATAAATTCAAATGCAAAGTTGAATGGAAAAGTCGGATCAAAATTAGTACCACATATAACCAAATCGAAACTATAACCGTAACAAGCAAAACGTAAGCGGATAAAAAATGTCTCAACATGATTTTCGGTTTCAATTCGTTTAATTTCATAATTGTAACACAGTGATAAAATTAGCTTTGAACATTTGCACGATCGAGTATTGATAAGTCGATATTAACGTAATATTTATGGTAATTTATGTGTGTTTTTGAGTAATATCTATCATAATATTGGTGTTTTATGCTTAATTTGATCATATGAGGTGTTTTGGATAAAAATGATGAAAAAGTGTTAATTTTGGAAGAGATTTATGCTCAAGGTCAGAAATGGAGTTGATATAGCACGTGATCATGTTGAAGAATAAGCTGGAAAAATTTCGTTTATGGACTAAATTGCAAAATTGAGAAAGTTTTGGGGGTAAAATTATAATTTCTCCAAACTTTAGGGGCCAAACTGAAATTTAGGGAAAATTGGAGGCCAGCAGCGGTTTTGGACTACTTTATTGTTTAATTCCCAAGTTTTTGGAGTTATAAATTCCTATTCTTTAGGAAGGAGACAAACAATTCTTTTTCACACTCAAAAAAGGAAGGTTTCTCATAAGAAATTCTGTTGATACTCAAAAAGACGATTCTTTCCAAAGAAGTAATCTTTTACTTGGATGCCACTCTATTCCTTAAATAGACTTAATGTTTTGAGTCTATAAAAGGGTTATCTTTTTGCTTGTTGAGAGATGAGTTGTCAAAAGAGCCAAATTTGAAAATTACCTAGTAAAAATAGAAAAAATATATTATATCTTATTTCTTCTTCTATTTAATAGGAGAGTTTTCAGCCAACCTCCCCTATAAATAGCAGTGTTGTCAGGCTCGGAAAGGAGCTCGACTCGGCATGGCCAAGGGGTCGATCGAATCGGGAGTCGACTCGGGGCGATTCGGGTGGTCGACTCGGATGACGTTATAATGACGTAATAAATACTAATTAATTAATAATAATATTTTAATTAGAATTTTATAAATTATATATATATATTTCAATTGTTGGAGTCAAATTAATACTTCATAATTTACAAATGGGTCGCTATATAATCAAATTGAACTCATGAGGTCGCATATGATGATGTCATTATTACTAACTTTATAGTATTTAGTTTTTTAATATATTTAAAATTAAAAAGATTTAAACTTTATATCTCTCTTCGATTATATTAGTTGATATTGATATTTTTCAGTACTTAATTGTTACTCAAGTGACGTAAAGTAGTATACTAATAAAGTAATTAAGATAAATAAATTATCATTTAGAAAAAAATGTTAAATTTGAAGGAAGCTAATATACACATTAAGAAAAAGTACTCCAAGATTATTAATTTTTTTTTTGGTGACATATTAGAGCAATAATATACATTTTTCATAAAATGAGGGAAGTAAATTAAAAATTTAAATTAAAATTGAAATTGAATATGAGGACTAAATATTAAATTAAAACTTTAAAAAGTACAAAAAATTGAAAGTTGTTGGGCAATTTTGAACAAAAGAGAAAAAGTTGGCCTGGAAGACATTGGAAGTTGAAATTCATGGAATAATGTGCAATTTTTGGGTCAAAAGGTCAAAAAAAACAAAAATCCCGGTTCGACCCGATTTTAACCGATTCACGGTTCAACCGGGGTTTTGACCGATTTTGACCGGTTTTTGTTTGGCGATTTTAAGCCTTGCTCGGCTCGGTTTTGGAGCCGATTCCCGGTTTAACCGGGTCGACCGGCCGGTCCGAGCCGAGCATGACAACACTGATAAATAGAGGGGGAAATTCGGCCAAATCATGACCAAGAAGGGGGAGAAGAAACGAGGAAGAGAAGAGCAACACAGACGCGACAGTTGGAGCTCTAGAAGGGCAGATTCCTCTCGATTTTCTTCTCTGCTACCTCTGTTATGTTAATTATCAACTCTTTTGCTATTGATTCTATTAAGATTAGTAACTAAACTCTTTTTCTAGTTGAAGGATTATTGAAATCTTGATTCATGACAATTGTGAGATCTAAATGATTGTATCTTTTTCATATATTAACGAGTATTTGTTTATTTTCTGAGTTTCGGGTTTATGACTGGTTTTGTTTGATTGAGTAGGTGCGCACTATTTAATTCTTTCATAGCTATTTAAAACGGCAAATCTGGAATTGTTTGTTAGTTTTAATAAGTGGCAATCAACAACTCAGACTGCCTGAGTAAGCAGCTGATGAGTGTTGTGGAAATAAATAATCTAATATAAATGATCCCGACTATGTGTTTGTTAATTTGAATTGGGTTCCTCTAGGTGTTAATGTTGTTGGAACACTAAATCCTACGAGCGTCTCTAGGGTTGTCTTTTGATTAGAGAAGTAGTTAACGATTGTATCTTGACTACCGATAAAGTAAGGAAAATTGGTTGTTAGGTCGTGCCAACAACTATAACCAATTTATTTGTGAATTATATGAATTTATCTTTGCATTGAGGATCAAATCGTTGAATTAAGGTGGAAATAATTTCTTTGACTAGAATCTTTCTCTCTTTATTATCATCTTAGTTCTTGTTGTTCTATTTAGTTATCTTTTACTTATTTTAAAATCAAACCACAACCTTTCTTTTATTTGACTTTTAATTAGATATAAATTTACTTACTTGTTCTATGAGGAGACGACCCTACTCATTGCTATATTACTGTTAAGAATAGGTAATATTTATTTTTGTTGGTTTGACACCTACCAAATATAAATAAAATTTCTTTAAAAAATATGTAAGAAAATTAAGGGTTTTTTTTTAAAAAAATAAAAAATAATGACCCTTACACTCCTAGTTCTGTCCACGTTGTATTGTGAAAGTCAGTAGTGGAATTAGAAAGTCCAATTAGAAAGAGAAAAATGACAATTTTTTCATATTAAAAAGATCAAAATTGTAACTTTTAAAATTTTTAAATGCAAAATTTAACCCCTTAATTCAAACAAGAAATTAGGAGAGGATCGACCGCCTCTACTAATCCGTGTCTCTGCCAGTACTGATGAAAGTGAGTGCTCAATAACCACACGAATTGGATTCAAACTAATATCGGGCTACTATCTCTGAGGATACTCATGGAAGCCTGTCTCTGGAATTTAAGATTTTTTTTTTCTTTTTTTTTGTGGTACAAAAAAGAGACTTAAAAGCTCATTCGTACCAGAGCCTATTCGATGTCCTCTTCTGAAAAATCCTCCTATTCCTAATAGAACAACTATGGCAGCTAAGAGCGCTGCTTATTCCACATCAAGAGCTCGAATGCCGTATCTAAGTGCCTATTCATGTGCAACCAACTCTGATTAAGGAGAATCCAATGCTTGGGATTGGCTTTGAATCTTGCTACGCTTCCTTCCTCCTTTGTGTCAGTTAAGGCACAAACAGGGGGATTCTAGAACAAGAACAGCGGCTTGT